CGGACCCCCACATGGGTGGCTGGATCGCGAGATACCCCCCCCCCCGTGCAGGGCCGAGTGGCTGGACCACGGGAAACCCCCCTGCACAGCCGAAGCCTGACCCTGAAATCCCACTGCGTGGGGCCGGGAGGCCGGACCTGGACCATGCTGTGCGGGGCAAGGCGGCCGGACCCGGATCCTGCTGTGCGGGGCCTGGTGGCCAGAGCCCGGGAACCCCGCTGTGCGGGGACGGGCGGCTTGCAGCTGGATCTGGACCCCCGCATGGGACCTGGCAGCCAGACCCGACCCTTGCATCTGAGCCCCATATAAAACCTGGGGGTGCTGTAGCACCCCAGCAAAACTCTAGATCTCTGTGCCCTTCCCCCCCAAACCTACCCACAGACCCACTCTCCTGCCTCCTGCGGCACTCACCAGCCCCCTGTTGGCAGGAGCGCTCCTGCAAGCTGCCTTACTCTCTCACCCCCTCAGCCAGCCCCGCCCACCTGCTTGACCAGCCTCGCAAATTTTGAAATTATTTTTAGCACACAGCTGGCTGCAGCTGTGTGCTAATTGGGTCGCATGCAGCCCACAGGTTGAGGACCGCTGCTCTAGAGATCTCAGTCATGTTTTTCTGGGGAAGTGAGAGACTTGGTGAGGTTCTGTTAGAGCAGTGTGTGACGGGTTGGGTCACAGAAACTCCTTTGGGACTGCCACCTGATGTGCTTGGACTACCTCTGAGCCCGTTTTCCCTGCCAGCTTGGAACTTCAGTACCTTGCCTTGTTTGAGCCAGATACTCTTGCCTGCTGCAAACACAGATCCAAGTCTGAACCACGACCCCCACAAGCTGCAGGCTTAACTGAAAACAGCTTAAGAAGTGCTCCTGTCTCCAGCACTCAGAGACCCAGCTCCCAATGGGGTCTAAACCCCAAATAAATCCGTTTTACCCTGTATAAAGCTTATACGGGGTAAACTCATAAATTGTTCGCCCTCTATAACACTGATAGAGAGATATGCACAGCTGTTTGCCCTCCCTCCCCTACTCTTTCCAGGTATTAATACTTACTTTGGGTTAATTAATAAGTAAAAAGTGATTTCATTAAATACAAAAAGTAGGATTTAAGTGGTTCTAAGTATTAACAGTCAGCACAAAGTAAATTACCAAGCAATATAAAACAAAAACACGCAAGTGTAAGCCTAATACAGTAGGAAGCTAAATGCAGGTAAATCTCACCCTCAGAGGTGTTCCAATAAGCTTCTTTGACAGACTAGCCTCCTTCTAGTCTGGGTCCAGCAATCACTCACACCCCTGTAGTTACTGTCCTTTGTTCCAGTTTCTTTCAGGCATCTCTTTTGGGGGGGTGGGGGGAAGGAGGCTATCTCTTGAGCCAGCTGAAGACACAATTGAGAGGTTTTCCCAGGGGCATATATAGTCTCTCTCTTGTGGGTGGAAACACCTCTCTCTCCCATGTAGAATCCAGCTACAAAATGGAGTTTTGGAGGCACATGGGCAAGTCATGGCATCTATCAAAGTCCATTGTTAGCCAAGTACTCCCAATTACTTGAATAACCCCTTCATACTATGTTGACCAAATCTACCTTAGGTGCTTTCTACAGCAAACACTTTAAATACAAGCATAGAGCCAATGCTCATAACTTCAGATATAAAAATGATACATGTATATGAATAGGATGAATACATGCAGAAGAACATAACCTTTGCAAAGATATGTTACATGGCATATCTAGCATAAAATATATTCCAGTTATGTTATATTTACACTCATAAGCATATTTCTATAAAGCATTATGGGGTGCAATGTGTCACAGTGGTTCTCAAACTTTTTTGCATTGGTGACCTCTTTCACAAAGCAAGTGCGACTCTCCCCCTTAATCAATTAAAAACACATTTTTTTATATTTAACACTATTATAAATGCCGGAGGCAAAGTGGGGTTTGGGGTGGAGGCTTACAGCTCGGGCACCTCTGTGTAATAACCTTGTGACCCCCTTAAGGGTCATGACCCGCACGTTGAGAACCCCTGTAGTAGAGTGGGTAACAAGAGGCCCCAGGTAGGACCTCCAGAGCTATTTTGGTATAAATATTTATATGACAGCAGATTGTGGTAGATGGAAAGGACTTTTCTAGCCCTTTTTGGGGGGGAGAGGGCTTTTGGAGTTATTGTGTATAATTTTTTGTTCTTACTAGCAATAATGGGGTTGTATTAATAAAATAAATACAACTTATGCTGCCCTTTTTCTCATCCCCATTCCTTGTTCACAGATCTGTCAGAACCATGTCATTAGTTCAGTGTCTTTTACATTCTTTTTCTTTCCTCTGCCTTTTTTACTCCATTTTTTCTATATTCTCACCATCTTCTCTTTCTGCAGTTTGTTGCTCCAGAAAAAGCTCCATAAATTTGAATTGGCGTGTTTGGCTAATCTGTGTCCTGAGACAGCTGAGGAGGCCAAGGCTTTGATTCCCAGGTGAGAATTTATGTCCCAGGTTTTATGATTTATGGGTTCTAAGATGCAGGAATAAGGGGAAAACTGAGCTGACCTATTGTTTCCCCTTTGTATCCAGTGTTTCACAGCCACAGTGGGCTGGCCTACAAGGTACAATTCTACATGACGCCAATCAGATAACTGTGTTGATGCCTGGCCCTGCCCATTCCTGAGTGTGGTACCCTTTTAATGTCATGTCCTAAAACTGATCAGTGAAAAGGTAGAGGGAGGAAGGTATTTGATTTGCATAATTCAGTGTGGAGGCACATGAGATCTATAACATGGGGCTTCAGAGTTGTCTGTGTATTATAACACAGGAGGAGGTGGAGATTTTGGATAAATGGTGCAATGCCAGTCGGTACCAAAAATGTCTGAGACACTGGTGTAGAAACATGAGGGAATTCTGGATATTAAAAATGAAAGCACAGAGAAGAGGCTTGTTTCTATCATTATTGTTCTTATCTTGCAGCTTAGAGGGCCGGTTTGAAGATGAGGAGCTACAGCAGATTCTTGATGACATTCAGACCAAACGAAGCTTCCAGTATTAGGGCTAATTACCAGCCCTTATTATGAAAGGAAAGATCAGAGAATTTCAGATGTTTCTCTGCACACCAGACCAATCTAGCTAGCTCCAGGACAGAGCAAAGAGAGTTCTTGATGCACAGTACTTCAGCCTTGGGTCCCACACAGACATGTTTAAACTGAGGACCACTCTTTGACTTGCTGAATATTGTAAACTTGACAAAGATTCATTTGTGGTGAGAGCCATAGAATCTTGGAAACTCCTGTCTAGGTGGTTTCAGTACCTGTTTCCCCCAACTTCCTGTCCCTGCCATGGGAATCTTTAAAGTGTTTTTGGTTACAGGGCCTAGAATAAGCGTAGGTGTGTTCTTCTTTCTTATGAACTCCAGTTACCTAAGGTGGAGAAATTTTGTGCCCATTGATTGTTGAAAATCCTAGTAGTTTGTAGAATCAGAGCTGAAAAGATTCTGAGTGTCTTTTGAAATGTTTGTTCAAGATAATGTTTTTTTTCTCCTTCAATAGTGCATCATTGTTCAGTTTGAATTAAAATGTGATGTTTCTTATTATGTTCCTATAATTTGTAAATATTATCTGATTCACTCCAACTTTAATTATTTAAGTCCTATTGAGAAACACTTTGACCTGGAAGGAGGGAATAGTCTCTGGGGAGGGGATTATCCAAACATCAGTTGTGATTATTACTACAAATGAATATAAATGAGCAGAATTGTATACACATATTTTGGGAGGGAGAGAATATGACACTCTTATTAGGCTATGATTGGAAACTTGACATCCATATCCATAGTGTTGAAAGATCATGCTGCTTTATAATAGCTGCCTGAGTTACCTTGAGTGACACCTATTGACTCAGCAGCAGTAACATAACTTATTCCTTTTAATATCATTATGTCTCCTGGAATCTAATAAACCAAACATACCTTTCTGATTAACCACAGTAACTTTAATTGGGTCAGAATTATAAGAAAAGGTTACACAGGAGTGAGGTCCTGTATTTTATTAGCTACATCCACCTCGTTTCAATCTTAGATTCAGTCTCCAGCTGCAGCTGTCATCAAACAAATCTCTTATATGCTGCCTCACAGGAGATTTCTGTGACTGCCTCAATGAAATGAAAATACCGATCTTTAAAAAACAAATTGAGGTGTCTTAATAAGAACTTCATATCAGAACCCTTACTTCCTAGCTTCATTACTTTTGGTGGTAAGGAAGCACTAGCTAGATTATTTGGCTTCTTTGACTTGGTTTCTTTTAAATTTGTCTGATTAGTTGTGATAGTTGTCTCTTGTTGATATTTAAAAATAAGATGGGAGGCTTTAGAGAATAAATCTAACAGCTTTAGTGAGCTGAACCTGATCCCACATTGCTTACGTCATCCTCTGCTAATAGACTGATAACTACCAAACATTGAAATCCATAATAAATTACAGCTACCACTTTTCAAAGAAGATCAAAAGCAATAAAACAGACAAGATGGTGGGAAGAAGGCCTCTTAGACCAATAAAACCTCTGTGAACTGCTATTGTATGATAGAACTGAACATGTAATAAAGGGGTTGCTAATACTGTATAGTAAGGGTGTTCTCAAAATATGAAAATTATTCAGGGCTATTTTATTGTTGAAGTTTTGTCACCCCTTGAATTAGCTACATGAAAAGATAAATTCATTGCACCTTGGAAAGAATAATTTGAATTACTCAAATATATTACTATTTCCTAAATAATCTGTAACTGCTCAAAAAAAAGACGGGGCCACTTATGTGGACAGCCCATTAAAAATGTCTGTTTGGTGTAGAGTTGATGATCAAGAAGGGGAAAAATATAGCATAGTGAAACCTCAGAGTTACAAACACCTTGGGAATGGAAGTTGTTCATAACTCTGAACAAAATGTTATGGTTGTTCTTTCAAAAGTTTACAACTGAACATTGACTTAATACAGCTTTAAAATTTTACTATGCAGAAGGAAAATGCTACTTTCCCTTTATTTTTAGTAGTTTTCATTTAATACATTGCTATTATCCTTTTTTTGTTTCTGCTGCTGCCTGATTTCCAAATGAGGTGTGTGGTTGACTGGTCTGTTCGTAACTCTGAGGTTCTACTGTACTTAAAATATGCCATTATAGAAATCAATGTAGTGCCCTCATCTGAAATACTGTTTTGTTCACCTTTTCTCAAAAAGGATATAGGAGAAAGAGTGGGTTTAGAGACCAGGAACAACAATGACCAGAGGCATGGGAAGCTCCCATTTGTAGAAATATTAATCAAAACTGTCCCATATTATTTTCAAAGAGGGAACACAAGGGACATGCTGGAGGTATACAAAATAATGTTATAGAAAAGGTAAATAGTGCTCTTCTTTGTTTACCATTTATCATAATACAAGAACAAAGGGGAAGTCCAGTGACACTGAAAAGGTAGTATGTTTTAAAATTATAAAATGAAATAGCTTTTTATATACAAGCTGTAGTTTGTTTCCACAGGATCCTGTAGCCAGTCAGGAGCTTAGTAACATATCTAAAACAATTATACATCTGTATGAATAGTCTTATGCATTTCTGGACAGTATGAGGCACCAGATACTGGACTAGAGATGGACTTCTGATTTGGTAATTTCTGTGTAATATTTTTACCTTCCAGGGTTGCTCACTGAGCTGCTATTATACACTGCTGGCAATCTGTTTGGCAGATAAGTTTTTCTGCATTTATCAGGAGTTAAAAAATTGCTCAATACAGTTTAACTTAAACAACCAAACAAACCATGCAGTAGGGAAAGTAAAAATACAAACAAAATGGTTAAGATGCCAAAAATCCCAGGATGTGAAAGGGGACTCTTTGCTGGTCCTCAAACATATATATATACCGTTTCCCATAGCTGCTTACATCTTAAAATTAATACTTTAAAAATCCCCTTATTTGAAACTGTTGCATTCTTAGGGCTTGTCTACACTGGCAATTAACAGTGCTGCAACTTTCTCGCTCGAGTGTGAAAAAACATCCCCCTCCCTCCGAGTGCAGCAACTTGCAGCGCTGTATAGCACCAGTGTAAACAGTGACCCAGCGCTGGGAGCTATGCCCCTGATGGAGGTGGTTTTTTTAGAGCACTGGGAGAGCTCTCTCCCAGCGCTGCGCCGTGACAACACAAGGCATGTTAAAGCGATGCCATGGCAGTGCTTTAGCATTGCCACTGTAGACTAGCCCTTAGCTATTACTAATAATGCCTTAGATCTTAAAACTGACCATTCTAAAACTCCAGTTTATATTTTATCTTGGCTTTTTTTACTTTTAGCATCAACCTTGGCTGGGACAATGGAAATGAATGTGAAGTCAAGTTCCTTTATTATGATCAGTTTCATTCCCTGAGGGCTGAAATGTTTGGGTTGCATGCACTGGTGAATGGGGGGAGAGGGATGTTAATTTAGGGTTTATGTCCCATGGCTGTGGAAGTCTCTTGATATGATCTCAAGCTGCTGGTTACTACCCTTCCCCAGCCTCGTCAGTGCTCTCCTAGCTGCTCAGTATTATTTTCAGATTCAGGTAGTTTCCCCCCTCCTCACATCAGTCAGCGAGCACCAGCAGGTATTGGGAGGGGAGAGGAGTTCCTTTCTTCTGAGCCAGGACTCCCAAGTGCTGGAACAGATTTCAGTAGTTCTCAAACTGTGGATTGTGACCCTCAAAGTGAGTGGCAACCCCATTTTAAAGAGGTCACCAGGGCTTCCTTAAACTTGCTCGCTGCCTGAGGGCTTCAGCCCTGAGGGCGGGGAAGGGGGCTCACGTTACATGCCTCCTGCTTGGGGCTGAAGCCCTAAGGCTTTGGCTCTATCTCCTACCTCCCAACTGGGGTGACGGGGTTGGGGCAGGCTCAGGCTTCAGTCCCCCCTCCTGGGGTCCTATAGTAATTTTTGTTGTCAGAAGGGGGTCCCAGTGCAATGAAGTTTAAGAACCCCTGGATTAGCGTGTAGTCCACGCTACTTCTGTCGACGCATGCGCGCCCCGCTTGCCGTTCTGCCCATGTCGGGTCACTCCTGCATCAACTGCGCGCACTCGCATCATGCACAGTCGGGCCTCCCTTGCGCTTGCGCAGACGCTGTCCTGGCCGCCGCTGCGTCCCTATCCTCGGCCAGGTCCTCCCCGGCGCCTTGAGCGTCCTGACGTAGAGCGCGTGCACCGCCCCGGTCGTTGGAGGGGAAAAGATGGCGGGCGGGCGCAGTGGGGGCTCGTGAGGCAGCGGCTTCCGGGCCAGGGGGAGTGTGGAGACCGGCGCGGCAGCGGGGTCCGGTGGCGGGGATAAGAAAACAGTCGGACGGTGAGTGCAGCTAAGTGATGGGCCGCCTGGGGCGGTGCAGTGCGGCCGGGCGGTGTGGCTCCTCCGCCATTTTCAGGCCGTGAGGCTGGGGAGGAGAAGGGGGCCTAGTGCCTGGGTCGGGGGAGGGAGGAGCTCCTGAGGTGGGGAACGAGAGCGCGGAGCCTGGAGAGGTCAGTAGGGGCTTGGGGCCCTCAGGCTACGGGAACCCCAGGGCCTGGAGTGGGCTCCTGGAGAGCTAGCGGGGGTCGGCTGAAAGTAGCACGAGAGCTCGTGGGGGAAGGAGGGCCCTGGACGGGAGTTTCTGCTTCACCTTGCTTTTCCTCCTGTTGCCTTTGGTTTAGGAGAACCCCATGCCTGTTCAGTGTTATCTGTGCTGTTTGGTCTCGGCCGTATGGCATAAATGGAACCATGCACGGCTGGGGCTTGTTATACGTTTATTTTGCAGAGTACATTAGACTTAATTACAATATGATGAATCCTCTGTGGTTTTACAGACTCAAACTTATTCTTTGCATAGCAAAACTACTTGACCGAGTAAAATCAGAACTCACCATTTTAGATAGAGAGAAAACCTTTAAGTTTTGTTTCTTCAGGAATTAGATGGTATTTCTCTTTTGATATGTAATTTACGGCTTGATGTGACTCCTCCTTGCTATGATTAAGTAGCCCTACATTCCCTGTAAGTGACACTACTCTGTATTTTCACTCCATGCATCTGAAGAAGTGGTGTTTTTAACCCACAAAAGCTTATGCCTAATAAATCCGTTAGTCTTTAAGGTGCCACTTGACTCCTTGTTGTACTCTGTATTTGTATACCATCTCTTATCTGACCAGCTTAAACTGTTACAAAGTCTAATGTAGGTAAGTATTCCTACACTCTACTTTTCTGTATTTAACCAAACCTTGAATTAATTTCCTAATCAAAAGTATGATCCTGAAGGGTATTTTTCTAACAATGGGGAGAGCTGAAGCAGACCAGGGTCTACCATTCCTGCTTTTCAAAGCTGAAGTTTTGATGCTGGAAAATACTTTCTGACTAAATACTAATAAACTGTTTGAGGGGAGAGATTCAAGAGCAGTTTTTTTCATCTCCAATCCTACTAGATTGTATTTCTTTATTGGACAGATTACATTAAAAATTTAAGAGTATTTTAACCCCTGTGACAAATAATTTCTGAATCCGTGCCATATGAACACTTAGCCTTATTAACCTGTGGACCACATGTCATCTTTAAGTGAATTTACTGATCAACAACTTGTTAAATACTGTCAAACAATTTAAACACATGCTTGTATGAGTCACAACTAACTAAAGTTAATTCTTGCTATTTATCATTTCATAACATTCTTTATTAAAAAAAAAACAGTTGCAAGATTAAACCTGCATTTTAGTAATTTATCTTGTATTCAAATATATAAACTTTTGTTGGTTTTCTAATAAATACCACTGTGAACCAATGGTATACTGAGTGTTAATTTGAGTTCTCTCACTTACAGTGGTTTGGTTTAGCGGTCTTTTGTATATCTGGTAAATTTTCCAAACTCTGTTTTTGAATGCTGGAAGCTAGAATAAATTGGACAATAGGGTACTTGCAATGTATCTTTAAAGTTTTAATTATGTGGGTCATTCACTTTTTAGGGCAGGAATTTAAAATTTATACTTGCAAGTTATAAGATAGTGTTTTGTTTTGTTTTTACAAAGCTGAGTAATGTTAGAAATATTGAATATGTTCATGAAGTTTACAAAAATCAGGTTTTGTTGAGATTTAAAATCTCCCTGGCAGTTTTTTGCGTCCAATTACTGAAGCATTGTGCTAGTACATGAAAACTGGCAAGTGAAACCTGTTAGTTTATTTTCATTGTCCAAGGTTAGTGCAAAAAGTAAACATCAGCAATGAAATTGGCCTTTAACAATGTTCAGTTTTAATCTGATTGCTAAAAGTTAAAATCTTACCTGCTCTACCAAAGTTTTAACATGGCTTTACTTCAAGTTTTTCCCCTCTTCCCTACCCTAACGAGTGCTTAAGGTTGGATCACAAACCAAATTGGTTTATTTTACTGTCCTGAACACTGTGTACTTTATGTATTTTTGATATGTATCACTATATCTGAAGAGTCACCTAGTGTTGGCAAGGACTCAGAGTAGCATGAAATCCAACTTTATGATATTCTTACTCCTGGGCTTATAAAATTATTCAAAATTTAATTAAATGCCAATTCTGGTTCAACCTACATTCTGTTCTATGTAAATACAAAGTGGTACTACAGCTTACAGAAGACTCATTTTATGCTTTAAAACGAACAATACAAATAGTGGGCAGTTAACTACAACTTCAACGCTTAGCCGAACAATCGTTCGCCATTTGGTCTGTTCCTGTGCAGCTGCAAGGGTTTGACAGCCTGAGAGTCCAACATCAGAACAGACTTGATGAACCCATGTAATAGGGGGTGTGCTTCTGGGCTGCCTCCACCCCTTGGTTGGAATTTTATCCTGGCTGTTACAAGCATGTCAGTTTACCTGCTTTCCCTATATTGTCTCTGTGTAGCAAACTGCTTAAATAGGAGCGGTATGGGTCTGAAGGAAGTCTACGCATCTACATTGGAAACTGACTACAAATACACTCTGGCCTATATAGGAAATTTATATAGCTCTAGTGACTCTTGGTGTACGTCTACACTACTAATGCTACAGCACTGCAGATGAGCTGCTATAGCACCATAGCATAGACACTTGCTACAGCAACAGAAGGGGTTTTTCTGTTGCTGTAGTTAATCCACCCCCTTGAGAGACGGTAGCTAAGTTGACCGATTAATTCTTCTGTCGACTCTGTGGTGTCTATACCTGGGCTCGGGACAGCTCAACTATGTCTCTCTGGTGTGAGAATTTTTCACACTACTGAGTGACATAGCTAGATCAACCTAAGTTTTGGGTATAGACAGGCCTTACACTCAGACTGGGATTTTCAAAGGAACCTAAGGGAGCAGAGTGCCCACCTTTGCCTAACTCTTATAGGCTCCTTTGAAAAGCCCAGCCAGAATACTTACCATATTTTAATTAAAGGCTATATATCTTGGTGTTGGAAAAAACACGTCACTTAAAAATAAAACCAAATTTCACTGTTTCAGACGCTTGTCCATTAAGATGTCTTGTAATCTGCCAAGCGGGGAAAATAAGGGTAACAGTAATAATTTGAATAAAACAAAAGAAATCTCAACTTAGTATGTTAATTCTGAGAAACCTCTTAAGTATACTTTGTTTAAAGAACTTCTCAAACTTTATCAATGCGAATTCGAAGACTGAATGTTCCCATGGAATCTTATTGAGATCACAAAGGGAAGATACAGGGGACGCTTTGGGAACATTTCAGCAATAGTTCAATTCTAAGGAGTTTTGTAGTTGGGCAGGTAGTTCTACCACAGTTTCTTTAAATAGCGTATGGACAAGAGGTTTTTAGATGTGACTAAACTATGCTGTTACTACAAAGATAAATGTTATCTCTGAAATGATTTCAAGGGCAGTACAAACAGGACTTGAGTGAAATAATCTTATAAAAATATTTTATTCACAGATATATAAAATAGTAGTAGTTTTCTTGTTCTTTCTACCCAAAAATAAAATTTTCTTCCCACTCTTGTCTGTTTCTGGTTTTGTACATACTGTAACAAGCCACCTCTACTTATATTTTCCCAATACAGAAGGAGAATTTCCTTTTCTTATCTTCTTCCATTTCATTTTCTAATTCAGATATAAATCTTCCATACAGAACTGTTGTTACTAAATCTGAACATATTTTTTCATTCAATTTGTTTTGGAGAAGTGTGCTCCAAAATGTAATAATACATTAGTATGCAGTGCAGTTGTAGCCTTGTTGGGCCCAGGATATTAGAGACACAAGGTGGGTGAGAAAATAAATTTTATTTTACCAACTTTTGTCACAGCAAAATGCAAAGTGGAACTGTAACCCACTAGCCCCCTCTTTTTGTCCTATGACTGCAAAGGCGTTAATGGGCCACTCTACCTTGAATGGTCCCTTACCGTATGTTAGGAGTGGCCAAATTTACAGACCCTCCGAGCCGCATACAATAATCTTCAGAAGTTCAAGAGCTGCAAGACATGCACAACCTGCCCCCCAGGGCGGTGCCTACCAGGGTGCGGGGCTTCTTCTCCGATTTTCCCCTGCTGGGCTAAAGCCCTTAGATTCCCCATCTTCGCTGCAGGGCAGAAACCCCTAGTCCCACCACAGGACAGAAGCCTCTAGCTCCCCCCGTCCAGTGTTGTAGGTGGAGAATGGGGGGGAGGGTACGTGGGGGGCTCCCGGAGCTGCACTTTAACAGTAAAAGAGCCGCATGCAGCTCAGGAACCACAGTTTGGCCATGCCTGTAATATGTGCTAAGTACTTATGCTAAACAATCTGTTGCACCTTGCACTGCTATGAAATGGGCATACCTTTTCCCGACTTGAAGAAGAGCTCTGTGTGGCTTGAAAGCCTCTCTTTCACCAACAGAAGTTGGTCCAATAAAAGATATTACCTCATCCATAATATATTTGTAAGAGCTTGTCAATATTTTGTCATGGACTCATTGTGGTTCTCTAAAGGAAAACTAAATGTAATGTTCTCATTAGTACATTTCACTATAAGGAATACATTACTAAATTTTAAAAAGCCTTCTAAATAGTTAAAAAAACAAACAAACCCTGGAGGAATCTGCTTGCTTCACATTTTGGTGTGGACTAGAATATGGGGAACTTCTTTCCCATGTTTGTGAACTAAATTTAAAAAACAATAGAATTTTTGGTTAATTTAACAGTTTTGCTTAAAACAAATCAGGCTGTAGCATCTGCAGGGAAGTATCAGTGTAATAGCTCTGATACAGTCAATTAAGGACTTAGTTAATATATAACATGTCTTTTAGTATATTTTGCTACAGGTGTTCTCAACCTTTTTCTTTCTGAGGGCCCCTTCCCCAACGTACTATTAAAAACTCCACAGCCTACCTGT